AAACGGAGAGGGGACCTGTTGTTTCGCCTTTAATGCATGCTCATGTTCACAGTATATTAAATCGTCCCTACAACACGGAATTTCTATGCTGCTACAACTCGATGTTAATTCTTCTTTGCTTCGAGATTTAATCTAGGGAAAGTACTGGCGACTGTCGAACACTCAGAACGGTAGATAGGACATTGTTGTACCGGCGCGGACGTCTCAACGGCTTCTAGTAGAGTGAAGTGACAAACCGTGCCTTCGGCGTTCAACAAGTCAAAGTAATTTATATTTCTCAAAAAAATAAAAAATAAAATCCATATAATTGTGTCTCGAGTATACGGCAAATTCTTCTGATAGGGAAAATTGCTCAAGGCATTTTTTAAGTTATTATCCCTAAATAGCTGAATAGAACTGTTATTTTCTGTCAATCAGTAATTGGAAAGGTGAAAATCAATATAAATTCATAAACACGGACCAATTAATATCATCATACAGAAATAATTAGAATTCAAAATATACTTAAGTTAGAGGAAGTTGCTTAGCATAAACTATTTACCTTTTCAATTGATATCGCTATTATCATTTGATTGAACGGCAGTTGCATCCACCTATAAATGAAAAAAAAGACTGTTGTAACAATTCTAACGAACAAAATATATATTTTTATGCTTAAATTGAGTAAATAGCAAGTGAAAAACTATAAAATGTTTTTTGCTTTAACACCCAAATTCATAAAAAATAAAGCAGACTTTAACTGATTTACATATAAATCGAAAGTTTGTATGAAAATGTCACTTTATAGAGCACTTTAAATCTATTTTATTTTCTACGGTTAATTCCATACATCTTCAATAAAAAAATAGAAATTTTTATTCAAACAAATGTTGATCTGTCTAAAAAATGCAACTTAGAAATAAAAATATGTACAAACATAAGTTCAGTTATGTTAATAATCTTACATTATTTCAATTTCATATTTTCACTTGCTTACTAAATCAGAACGCATAAGCGCAGCCGTCAAGATTAAGTCACTGTATGTAAACTCATACGGTAATTAGTAACATCATTTAAATTTAAAGGAATTAGTTTGAAATCAAAATTTACTTACCTTTATAAACTCATAGAAAATGTTGGCTTTAAAGTAGAAATTCAGATAAAATTTCTTAGCACTTGTCATAATCTCGTATTTACAATGTTTATTGGAATGGACGCTAATACGATATTTACAATTTTCGTAACAGAGCTTTGTATCACCATCAGGAAATCAAAATACACTGGTATACTATAGGAATTCCTGAAAAAAAAAAACAAGTTTTTTTATAATTATATGCTGTAGCAAAATGAAGGGCAATGAAAAAATAGATTTCATCAATCCAAATCAGTACGCAAAAAAGCGCAGCCGTTGAGTTTTAGTCATTGAATATACTCATACGGTAATTAATATCATCATTCGTGTAGAAAAACTAAATATCTACTAATAATAATTATAAAAACAAACAAAGCTTTTTTTTTTTTTAAATAGTAAGAAACTTCTGGAAATTGACCGGTCGGAAAATGCTTAGTTGAATTTAGTGGAACCTGCTTGGTTCAATTTGTGTCTGTTTAAAATTTCTTAATTCTTGTAAAATTTTGAGTCGTGAGAGAATTTTCATTAATGTTGTTTGAAACATTTCAAAAACTTACCTCGTTATGCCAGAGAGCGTATGATTTTATCTGCAAGTATTTGAAAAGGAAAAACCATTTATAGTTTTAGTTGGTAAAGATAGCATGAAAATATACTGATTTTTGTTTTTAATCTCATTTAGAAATAAATCAACAGCGTATTTGTAAGGTAAGGTAAGGTTTTCAGTAATTAGATCCGTGGTTATAATCATAGAAAGATTAAAAATTTCTGTTTGTAAACTCAATTTCGTAACTCACCTTTGGTTGATTAGGCAAATGCCTCAAAACTTCTGTTATGTTTTTCCCCATTCTGATATGGATGTTGGTTGACTCCCCTCATCCTATCAGCATTGGAGCGAAGCGCATAGAAGCCTGCAAATGAAGAGAAAAATAAAATCAGCAATGTCATAGTTGATATTCATTTTGATAATTGAAACCCGTGTGTATACAATAAAACTGATATGTTTATAGATCAGATTATGGTGAGAAGCTAATGGAAAATATATTACAAACGTTACAAAAGAAGATGACGACATATTCTAGTCTCCGGTGCACCATTAGTACAGCCGCGTCTCAGGCTTAAGTCACGACAACTCGACAATTCCTATCCCCAATATCAAAAAACCCAGCTTAGATTCCGGAAAATGCACAGTATCACCACACAGATTAGCGAGGGTCTGAACCAACGTCGACCCTGTGACAGGACAGTCATAGTCGCAGTTGACCTGTCGAAAATATTCGTCACGGTGAACCACGCGACCCTCTGCAAAGACAACTTCGGCTCATCGCTTCTAGCTTGGGGCGAAACGGTGAATAACCAGCTATCTGTGTGGGCGCCTGTTGTCAGTCGAATTTCATAGTGCCAAGTCCAAGCCGCATAGAATTAAGCTGGGGGTAACTCAAGGCGACGTACTCTCCTTGACACTGTTTAAACTCGACATGGCAAAACTCTCTTCGCCGCCAGTTGGAGTCAACTTGGTAAGCTTCTCTATGATTTTACGATAAAGGCAACGAGCCCAAACATCCTTGTGAGAAAATAACCGACCTATCCCAATTTATTTAGTCAAAAACATAAAAATCTCCGCCACATCGCTTTACGATCTGCATGACGTGGGCCAACGTGAACAGGTTCGAACTAGACGCCTTTGTCAATGGCGCCAAAATGTCGATAACGAACCACACCAAAATTCTGGGAGTGACGTTTCACAGCTTGATCTTCTTGTCTGCGCCCGCCGCAGCCATTTGCAACAAATTGCATGCCATGAGCAAAGTCCTAAGTCGCCGACAAAGAGACCCATCTCACGACTTACACAAGGCAATCGGCCGGACAGTGGCAAATTACGCAGCGCCAGTGTGGTCGGCAGGAACGAGCGGCACGCAATGAAGAAATCTACGAACATCCCAAAACACAGCTCAGCGGACAGCTACATGCTGCCATCTCAAGTTGTCCGAGCATCATCTCCACAACACAATGATATCGAAGCAATTTATCGTGGGATGTGAGACGCCAGCTGCACGATTTAAGAACGGATATTGAGTCGCACGTAGGCCATACATTCCACATAGGGAGTTCAACCACCTACACAGCGATACAGACAGAACGAGCCTCAACACCAGTAAAAGGCAACATCGTCCTAGGTGGTCGACCTTCGCTCATGTGCATAGAAGAAACAGAACTGGCGAGAGAGAGAGAGAGAGAGAGACAAGATGCGCCCTGTCACAACTCCGTCCTGAATGGTGCCACAGACTCAAAAGCTATCTCTCTTCGCTGAACTCAAAAATGAAAAAACGTGCCTGGAATGTAGGCAAGGTCCACACAACACCCAACATCTCTTCCCATGCACCTCCAACCCGCCGAGCCTGACACCGGAGGCACTCTGGAGCTGCGCCTATCGACGTCGTCGGCTTTCTCGGCCATGGGCTTGCCGAATTATAGGATAAAGATGATAACTCATGACAAAAACCGGGGGTTGAGTACTGTTGATACAACAACAACCCGAATACTTTAGTGGCAATGTTTTTTTTTTAATTTCTTTAAATGCGTTTCAAGTGCCGTAGTAATCGTTTGGAAGACAAAGCATGGAACGTTATAAACAAACTTGCTAAATCAGCAACACTTACTCTTTAACCAGATCCCAATTGATATCAGAAGGCAATCCGCCGCCGGCTTCGTTTTGTCCCGCTCTCACATTAAATGGCGGTGGTGGTGGCGCTTTCGAATCATTCTTCTCGATCGTGTCTTCAGGAACGATTCTTCTTTCGGGTTTGCGCTCACGCTCGCGCTCGCGTTGTTGTCGCCTTTCATAAACCTATAAAATATATGCGGGGAAAAAAATAAATTGTTTTTATGGGTGTTCCGGGGAATCTATTGGGAAAATACGTTTCAACGACTGTCTGATGGTGTGACAGTTTGAAATGCTTTTCAATCGAAATTTGCTTAAATTATTCTATGCTGTGAATGCTTATTACTTTAAAAAGTGTAGAATTGTTATTACGAATTTCTGTTTAAAACCTACTTTTACTTATGTAATTGTATTTATTCGATATTAATTTTTTTTTTTTAATCTAGACACTTATTCCATTTGCAATTATTTTTCGTGGTATTTAGTAACAATACACAAACTTTTAATTCGATTGAAAAACATTTCGCCGTTTATGTTATCGAGAGCGAGAAGGATTATTTTTGCACTAAGCAAAAATTTTACATTATATCTCTTTATTTTTGATTGGAGTAGGAAATTCATTTTTAGAAAATATCAGAAGCCTCAGATATGCCATTTCACAGAAAGATTTGTATTGCTTAAAATTTTCTCCAAAATTGTACACACACTTTTGCACGCAAAACGATGACATGCAAAATGTGTCAGCTATAGATAAAATAGTTGTTCCTAGTATTTTTTTTTTTAGACGAGTTCATTTACATATCTACGAGAATGTTAATGTAGCCTAAACAAATAGAATAAATGAATGCAATTAACAACGACGAACGACGAACGAGTAAGAGAATCAATTCATCAATTGTGTGTAATGCAAATTTGCCTACAAAAGCATCAGTGGATTAAATCTTTTTCGATTTGCGTATGACTCCATTCAAATGGAACAGTTATCGAGTGGAATAAAAAGTCATTGCGTATATTTGCAGTTTTTGGCAGCATTGGAGCCGCAGCTTGGTCACATGTCATATGAAAAAAAAATAATTGAAAACGAAATTTGGAGATTTTACAAGTTTAAAATGAGAGACAATACTGCGCGTATTCGTTATATTGTAGTTTTAGAACCGTAAAGGAAAAAAACGGCATTCTTAAAACAGCGTCAACCGACCAAAACTGGTAGAAGACATTCCGGTAATTTATACACCAAAGATTCTCAAAATCAGTAAAGCTCACTGAATTGATTAAGAAATGCGTCGATTATAGTTGACAACCGAATCTCAGACGGTTTGCCGGTGGTGGGAATGGTACTACACATACAACTACCAACTAAAGGCTGGCAACTGAATTGCTATGTATATTGACAGCTGCATTTTAGTGGTTGCGGAAATTTCGATTCAAGAAAATGTATTCATTTTATCAACTGTTTTTTGCAATTTGTTTATACTACAGCAGTGCCGGGCGCATCATTTTTGGATTGTTTATAGTGTGTTTTCGTTTCTACAAAAAATGTTGCCTTCTCACTGCCCTCTTCTAAATATTTGTGCATAGAGGCCAAAGAGAAGGTAACCTTTTTCGGTAGAAACGAAAACGCCATTACTCAATTCCTATTCGCTTCGGCAAAGCCATAAGACTGCGCTGCAACGCATACTTCGTCACTGCACTAAAGTCGTATCCAGCCAGCAGAGAAAGGTAAATTTTGCCGACTGTGCGGTCTCGCACAATTTTCCGTATCCGGAAAGGAATAGAAAACGGCTACAAAATTCGTCATTTTACGTTTACGCGATTTTTCGTAACCGGAATCAAATAGAAAACGAATACAGTAGTTATCATTAATTTTCGTATCCGAAACATTCGAAAAGAAAAGTTGTTTGAAAGCAATCGTCCTCATTGCGAATGTCGTGTCGAATGCAAGTCGTTTTTCGATAGTCGAGTCGTATGCAAGTCGGCTGGTGTACAAAAATGTAAAAACTTGGCAGCACTGTATAGTTTTCAACGATTTCCATCGTTTACTTATTTCAGCACGACAGTACGCAATGCCAATGTTGTCGACTCGTAAAATTTAGCCTAATTTACGACTTACGCAATGAAGCTGAATAATCAGGGACATAACAGTTATAAGTTTTATCGGAAAAACGTTGCTAAATAACAGTTATTAGATGAGAAATATTTTTTTATTTCGCCAATAAGAGTTATTACCCAATGTTTACTATTTACGTTGCCTGATAACTGATACGCAGGAGAAAGTTGTATGTCGTCGCCAATAAGAATTATTTCTCAACGTTTATTTTTACGTTGTCTGATTATCCTTCTTTATTTTCATCATCTTTTATCTTCTTCTCCATCTCCGTTTTCGTTAATATTTTTATTTTACAACGTTTATCAGGCAACATGCGACATTGAAAGACAAGTAAAAAAATGTGCATTTTTTCACCTAAACATAGAAAATCTCCAGCTCGATATTTGGTGTTCATTTGACTGCGCGTGTAAATATCAGAGAAACGTTCGCATCGAAAGATTTCAAAGGTCATCAACCAAACGGAGAATACATGATTGATTGATCTTAAATCTTTCTATACATAATGACAGGAAAAACCTAAAAAACTTAGCAATGACTTTTTACTCCATCCAATGTAATCTTAAGAGAAACAAAAATGAGTCGAACTCATTTGCCCGCCTGCATCCTTCACGCTTGGCCCCCAAAAAAGCGGTTGTTATCAGAAATAGTTTTTTTTTTTTTTGCTTTACAGAATAATCTGGCATAATATCATAGACAAGAGAGTGTTTGCTTAATTTGTTTGTATAATCATATACAGCATGTAAATAAAATATTGGCATATCTGAGATTAGGAGTTATTGCTTTGAAGTTCTATAAAGCCCCCGTATGTTTCGTTTACTAAACGTTCTTATATAAAAAAAAAAATGTATTTTTAAATAAATAAAAAATGAATTTCGGAACGTCGTATTGAAGGTTCAAGTGTTTTATGCAGTAAATGCAAATTTAGAAGCAAAAAAAAAAAAAAAAAAATGAAGCCCAAACCCACTTTTTCTGCCTGCAGCCAATTGCGCTTAACTGAATAAAACCAAACCAGAATACTTCATTCCGAATTCATTCATTTTTTTGTATTAAAAGTAAAAAATCACAGCATTTTCTTACCTCTTAGAGACAAAGTTGAATCTTTCACAATTTATTTCATGGTAAATGTTGTAGAAGCAGCAATTAATGCTTGTCGTTTATTCAATAATTGTTTGGTTACTGAATAATAATGCAGCTTTAAATTCTCCATCATCTCAATTACAACAAAGAGAGCAATTTCATCAATAGATGCTTGCCTCGTCTTTAACAAAATGGGTTTAGTGTCCTCCTGTTAGCTGTATGTAGTAACAACACATTTTCCACAGAGCGAGCCACATAGTATAGCTAGTTATTTGTTAAAGAGTCGCTAAGCTAAGGGTAGCTTAAAGTCGTCTTCTATAGAGTTTAGTAGTGCTCGTTTAACAGTTTGTAAGGATTGTCAAGTCGAGTGCCCGTGCCTTTATCAAAGCGTTGTCGTCGTCTCACGTAATATAGTCTGTACAATTTTCTATTATAATATTGTTGTTGTTTTTTTTGTCAATAATCGGTAATTTATATTTGTATTTATTGTATACTGCATTCTAAGTAGTAAATATTATAGCAATTTAGAGATCATTTTGAATTTTGTCAAATTTACTCGGTGTAAAACTTTAGTCGTCACTTCAGTTAGTTTTTAAAGGGAAATTCCTTTGTTTCCCTTGTATATATATACATATGTATATACATGTATACATATTTTTTTTCTTTTTTTTTAGAAAATGTTTGTTTTGCATTTTCATAAAGCGAAATTTTCATAATTTGCTTTAATCTAGCGCTGAAATATAAATCAATGGTTATCTTTAAAAACGACGTTGCTATTCGAAAATAAAGAGTGGAAACCAAAGAAATGTGCGGCCAATTGTATCGGTACTGAACGGAGTGGAATACCTAAGGCTAAATTTTGTTCAAAATAACATTAACGACTTTCACAATTTTTATCCGAATTTGAATTTGATCTCAGCCCTTCAAAACTTAGCTTTGATCGTATAAATAGCTATCTATATATTTTGTATATAAAATGATAGCCATCATTTTCGTATTTAGTTGGCTTAAATTTTCCAAGAAATTGTTGCTGTTTATTCCTTAGAATGCACGCGGGGTCGGAGTAACACACACAGCCCTAAATGCATGCAGATATACCCAATTCCGAATACCAAGCTCCGTGTAAATAGGAAGTAAACTTAATTTAATGGCAAATTTTTAATTTTTGAAAATTCCATTTTATACTAAAAATAAGAAAATTTTTAAACTAAGTGCATGGATCTGCTGATCGCAGTGCATACTCTATTTATGTGTCTGTCTATCTAAAACTAAGTGCATCCCAGTGTGGAGATAAAGGCTTCTTTGCGAAAACTAAAATACTCGGACACATCTCTTTTGTTTTTCTGGACAATACATATAGACCTGTTCCGAAATTTGTGCGGGCAAGAACTATAGTTTTATATCACTTTCAAAACGACAGATACATACTTTGTGCCACTATATTTGTGGTTTGCTGCAGATACCGTTAAAAGGAATTGATTTTTGTTATCACGACACACGTGTCTAGCCCAGCAAAACCCGTCGCTAACGTTTGGATTGACACTTTGAATACGGTCAACTGATGCAGTTCTAATACCAATCCTTAGTCGGTATGATATTATTAGAAAATGGCGTGAGAATCAATTTGTGAATAGCTCGACAACCATCGCTTAGATGTGTTTGTCTTGTGTATATGTAGTTAAAAAAAAAAAACTTGAAGTGAATGAATTTTCAATAAAAAAAAAACTGAAATCGTGGCCATGCAAACCATACCACCAATAAAAAAATTTAGAATTTTGTCAATTATAATATATATATATATATATATTTTTTATAGAACGTTTGAATTTTGTATAAAATTTAGAAAAATCTTAAAATTTGCATAGTTTAAAATTTTTTAATTAAAATCTTTTCGAAAATTTCGGGTTTGCAGTTTGCCCATTTAATTTTAACATAATAATGTGCATGTTTGTTTGAAGTGGCTCAAAGTTCTCGCTGATATTTTTTTTTCCGGCGATTGTGTAGTTTTTTCCATATTTTTATGCGAAAAATGCGCACCATCGTATAGAAAAATTTTTTCAAGTCAACCAGAATTATGAGCTACTTCAAACTTACACTATACCACATTAAAATTAAATGAGGTATTAAACTGCATATTTATAAAAAATGTGGTTGGAGTTCAAAATTTGAATGAATTTTGTACAGAGTTTGAAACTTATTTGTGTAGTTTTTGTTACAGTGCGAACTAATAAAAAAAAATATTCATATTAGAGTTTAATAACTTATGAAATTCTATCTAATTTTTTTCTTTTAAGTGGTGGTAAAAATGGCCGTCCACAAGTGGACATAAAAAAAATCCACACTAGAAAAACGGTTATAGGTAAATTTGAGTTATTTTAGTATTAAATAGCCGCTAAATTAAAATCATTAGAATTATGTAATAAATAAAACTTATACATAAAAATTAATTCGTTGATCACAAATCCGCTTAAAGATGGCTTAGTTACTGAAAATTTCAAATTCTCATTTTTAGAAATAGTTCGGACGACTAAGATTTGCTAAATCGCGAATTATGCAAATTTTTGTTGAGAAAGTCGTTGGTTGTCTCTCGTTTGGAGAACAGAGAATAAAGCGCGTCTGTTTATGGTCACTTTCTTGTCGATAACTAACCTCAATGTTTGCAAAAAAAAATTACTGGAATGTTCCAAAACTGTTTATGGTAAGCCACTGCCACTTCAAAGCATTCCCCCTTAAAATTAATTCTAAATATTTTTTCTACTTTCTTACTATGTTTATTTCAAGTGAAAGCATCAAAATGTGTATGTATTTTGAATAAAAAATTCCGAGCGAAAAAAGATAAATTGAATAACCAAAAAACTAAGTATTTCAATTTTAAAGTGAAAAGTCATCAATTAAAAAATAAATTAATTTCCTTTTATGCAAAATAATTAAGCGAGAAGATAAACTAGGTTTAACTGTGACAGTGCAGAAATAGGAATAAAATTCTGCAAGCACTGCTTCAAAATTCACAGATCCACCGAAACAAATTTCCGAATATAAGTTATAGTTTATTAGATTTTGGTCGATCAAAAATATAAAAGGATGATATGTCTAATATGCAACAGAAAAAATTGAGCAATTTGAAGTTATCTACGGACGGCTGAGCTACGAGAGACATGCACTGAAATTCATGCAATTTATTGCCTTAAATCAGAACCTGCCTGTGCCTGTTTGGTTTTCGGAACTTCTTTGTTTCTGACACCAGCTAATATCTGCCACATCAAGTGCAAACAGTTTTAATTTGGATGCCAACGGCTAGATGGAAAAAGCAATGCCCAATCTTTGTAAAATATTTTTATATTGGTGAAAATTTACAAAATTTTTATGACTGTAAAAATTTAAATTAAAAAACATATGCAACCTAAGTTCTTCGTAGATTAGTTCATTTTCGCGTGAATATCGTTTAATAGCGGAAATTCCTCCTCAAGCGCTCGACAATACTGATATGTGCGACATCAGAATCAACAAAGAAAACAAAGAATTCATAAAAAAGTCTCATGCAATCAGTGCTTTTGCAAATATGNTTTTAAAAAACATATGCAACCTAAGTTCTTCGTAGATTAGTTCATTTTCGTGTGAATATCAGAATCAAGAAACAAAGAATTCATAAAAAAGTCTCATGCAATCAGTGCTTTTGCAAATATGGTGTAAAATACATATACAAATATTTTCTAAGTATCCTAACCTCTAGCCTAAATCTTCTAACCCCACTGAGCACAATACATATTTTCGCAAATAATTCCTACAACAGAAAATAATAAAATATTCAACTCGTTGCACATCTTCCTTCAGAACGCCATCAAAATACACACACATACAACCCGATTTGCAATTTCTCTAGCATTTGGCACGCACATTTCTCCACATCACCAACAACATTCAAACAATTTTTTTTTTTTTTTTTTGATTCAGCTCACATCTCCCACCCATAGTACTAATTTGTAAATTAGAATTTTTAAATTAAAAAAGGTTTTTTTTTTTTCNCCCCACCCATAGTACAAATTTGTAAATTAGAATTTTTAAATTAAAAAAGGTTTTTTTTTTCTTTTAATTACACAGTTGAACATGTATTATTTTATATTAATAAGCTAAAAATTTTGGGGTTTCTACATAAATAAATGTGTAATAAGTCGATTTTTTACTCAATATGTAGTACAAAAAATATTACACACGCGTATGATCTGCTAGAGGCAAACACCATTTTATTTCACCGAATTTTTGGCTTCGTTTTTTACAAATGAAACAGATGATACTTATTCAAAATTTTTGCAAAAAATTATAGTCAAACTAGTGAATGAAATAAAAAGTTGGTCGCCTAGAGTTTTTATCTTTTACATACACATAATATATATGTAAGTAAGCAACAACGTATAAAATGTATTGAAAATGTTGCACGTGCTTGATCCAAATTTTGATAAAGCTGAATGAATAATTCTATTCAGTTTGAATATGTTTTTTTTTTGTCATTAATATTTATGGTTTCTAATGGTTATATTACTAAATATTATCAAGAGGAGCAAACTGTGAATTGAATGTATCAGAGATCACACATCGTGTAAGGAGACACCTTCCGACATAAAAGCTCAACTACTTGACTTCTTATCAATAATTATGTCGCGAAATCAAAGAATTTCCAGCGTCAGATGATATTGAATATTATTTGTTGGTTTTGAATTACTATCAATTGTTATACATTTAAAATGGTTCAGACCAAATTTTACACTTGATAAATGTAGCTCGCAGTTAACTTACTTCTTCCTAAAGAGAATGTACGTAATTTCAATACATTTTTTTCCACTAAGATTAAATGAATTAAAATAGCATACAGATATAGATATATTTATATATATATGTTTTTTTTTTGTTTTTTTTTTTTTGTAATTTACGCAAGTAATAGCGCTGCTGAAATCTTATTTATCTGTCGTTGATCAAATCATGGTCCTTGGTAAAGTTTTGTTCATTGAACAATACAATTTTATAACGTTCCAATAAGAGCGTGCACTGCTTGATTGTGTGTTTTATGGTTGGGTAGGGTAGAGTAAGTAGTAGTATTGGTATACTTAATTGTTCGATCTGTTCATAATATTCACTTTAGACCATTCTATATCCAGCGTAAAATGCTCACGCTCATTAATTTAAGGTGACACTGTTTCTCAGAAACGTCTTCTTCGTTCCCATGGATTATTGTTTGCGTTGTTATTATTGCCACCGCGCTGATTGCCACCTTGGTTTTGGTTACCACCACCAAATTCAAATGAAAACGGATCCTATTCGCAAGTGAATGTAATAAAGAATTTCATATGCAAATTGTTGTAGTTAAAACGGTTTCTGTTAAATAAAAATTTTTATACGCAAAAAATGTAAACTTCCCACTCAACCATTCCTACTACAAATTGGTATGCCGAAGTATACCAGTCTTATAGCTTTTGTGTATTCTTTTTTGGTTATAAATAATTAATGAAAGTCACGGGAAATCTATTCCAATTGCAATGACTCAAAAGTCCAAACTACTTGTAAAGCACATTCAGAATAAAATTTACATATTTCAATTGTATCCCCTTCGTACATACTTGTATATATATACGTACGTCATGACATATTGTACTCATGCAGTACCATCACAAAACAAATGAATTAATTTGCAGCATTTTAATCAAGTTCTACCGAAGACTTCAGCTCTGCTCTGATGATATCTCAACAGAAACCGAAAGCGATCACACCACATTTTATGCAAATTTTCATTGCATATTCCCAAAAATTTTAATGTTTTTTTAGTACATTTAAACAAAACCATGTTGAATATCGAATGTTACCGTTCATCATTGTAATGCGACGGGATCAAATATACGTATGTATTTCATTGTTTGTCAAATTTCTGATAGTACTGAAAACAGCCCAACCCAAAAGCATTTAAATAAATCTTGTTGAAGCGTTAAATGGCACACAGAAACATCAATTTGCATATACCAACAAATGTAAATTGAGTGTTAATCATATATGTAATACCCCTATAGTGGCAGTATCAGCTAGTACCGTACGAAAACATTACAGTAAAGATATATTGTTTTCAGAGCGAGGTAAGCTTATGATTATTTCAAAAATGACATAAGTCATAAGCGTTTCAATGACGGGAAAAATTTCTACCATTAGCGGTTTGGAATTTTGTATTTAATTTTACTATTTTCTTTGTATGGAGCAACGATGAAGAGATGTGTGTATCTGCATTATTGTGTGCATAGATACATAAAATGTTCGTGTTTGCTCTAATTTTGAGAGCTGGAAAACTATCGATGGCACTATGTATAGTCTCGATGGTTTGCCTTTTATTGCCACTATCGACACCATCGATAGTGTTGTTTTTAGGTTGTTACTATCGATAGTTGTAGCCGCTATTGATAGTATCTACAGTACTCTATCATTCTAATTTTATATTTATTGGTACAAAGGCTTTTTCGTTTAAATACATATCTAAGAAAGTATGTAAATAAAGCGAAAAAGTGCATATAAAAATGCAACTCTAAATCTAATTACCCATTCAAAACGAAACGTTACAATCGATAGATGGTGCAAAACTTAAACTATCGAGTGCCTCAAAAGGCATTTGTAAATATCTATGGAAACATGCAGTTCTTGATTTGGAAAAACAATCAATTCAGCACAATCAGTTGCCAGCGAATATCCAACCGATAAGTCAAAATGAAGTTTCACCAAACGTAAGTAAGAAGGGCAGGGTCAATAATACCGGCATTATGATTACGTTAAAATATATACGGTCTTGTTCTACAAAATGTTCTTGCGCTACAAAAAAAAAAGCAACGGTTTGTAGAGCCGCGTTATATTTCGGAAAAAAACCCATATCTAGCAACGCCAAAACGTACTAATCGAATTCTTAAATTTGTGAAGAACTCATTTAATAGTTATCAAGATATCTCCGCAAGCGTGTGACAAAATTAGACGAGGTAATTCTACGCTTGCTCCAAAACCTAACTGTACTATGATGATTTGAAACCTAATTTCGGGCAAATAATAATAAAGGCCAAAGGCCAAAGAATATTTATTTTTCCATTTACAAACTTTTTTAAACTACACCTAGTTCTAAATTCCATAAGGGAAGCTGAACTATAAATAAAATCCGCCACTGGTGTGATTTGACAGTTGCTCGATTATTTTTCGTTTACACAAAAACGGTACGAGACTGTCTCCTTTGGATTTCGAAATTTTTACACGTTGAGAAGATTACTGCCAATGTAGAAGTATTACATACATCGTGTTAGTAGATCATTATGTTTAGATATCCCTTTTAATCCCTGAATAACGTCATTCCAAAAGTAATTTATTCTGAATATCAGATTCCAATAGCAAATCACAAATCAGCTGCAACTTTTCTGAGATGAAAATTTGTCAGCCTGAGTATCAGAGTATCCCCACAAAAGCCCAAATTCAAAACCATATACGTATGTATAAGTCTATCCAGTTTGGCGCCTCCTCTGTTCGCGCTTACACCACCAGCACAATTAACAAACTATTTAATCAAGCAAACTAACTACAATACGAATTAAGACGCTTACGCGCTTCAACTTAATAAATTTGTTCAGAAAATTTTAGCCAAAATATGCTTCTTGAAATAATGATAGACCTTTAAGTCAACATTGCAATCAGACACACTCCCCGTAACATTTGTTGTTTAAGTAGTAACCCATATGTATATGCAATATAATCGTAAATGAATGTAAACATGCATCTCCTTTTCACATTAGAAAGCAAATAACCTAACATAAAATAAAGCCATACAGATTTTGTATGCTTCATTCTTAATACAAATTCTGTTTACTGCTTAATTTCTCAGTAGTGAATTTACGAAAGAAGTGTCATTTTATAGCAAATCACTAACCAAACTTGTGCTAAGGCGAACTCTCAAAGGCCTAAGCAATATATTGTCTTACTTAAGCATTAGACACTAAATTGCAGTTCCTTTGAAATGCATAATTGACATTTGGCCGAATGTCAATGCATTCCTAGAGAATGTTCGCCATATGCACTTGGAATGGATATGAATAGCTACATAATTTATATATTAGCATTAATCTTACAATCGCTACCAGTAGTTTCACATATCAATACGTATCTGAACAGCGAAATTGAAGTATATATATATTTTTTTTCCTAAAAACGCCTCAGAACAGGCACATTATATTATTATCTTTTTTGGTTTACAAATTAAAAATATAAAATATTGCCATTACAAAAGCGAGTTTTTTTTTCGAATTTGAAACGCATTTACTAAAAGAATGCATAAAATATAACACCACAAAGGTGGAAATTGAATTTGGTGTGAATCTATTTCGAAATACGATTGATTCAATAATTGTCATCACTTGTATAAAGCGCTGCAAAGCATTTAGGATGCAAAAGTATGATCCACTTTGCAGCTATCTTTTTTTAACTTTGTTTGTACTTTTCTTAAGTGCAGCATGTTTGTTGAGTTTGTTTGCCTAGAAACTTCATCGCAAGAAGAGATCGAAAAATGAACGTACCTGTGGATTATTAGGCCCATTGCCAGTGCCGTTGCCACTATTACCACCACCGGCATTGCCGCCTAAAAGTGCAGAAATTGGATCTGACGTTAATTATTAGTAAAATTCGTTCCATTCAAAGTCAGACATTTTACCTCTGAATTCAAATGGCGAATTGTTGGATGCTCGACCAAAGTTGTCGAAATTATTACCTCCATTATTGTTACCGCCAAAGCCTTCTTGCTGGTCAAGCAATGAGTTCAGTTGCTGTGCTTGCATAAACAATGTGTTTTCCTGTTGACGGCGGCGCATATCTTCTTCTTGACGCAACATTCGTGTCTGCATTTCAGTTTGTTGGCGACGCATATTTTCTTCGTCGCGTTTGCGCATTTCTTCTGCCTGTTTCTCACGCATTTCCCACTCCATCTTCTTGCGTTCATTATCGGATTCGCGTTTCCGCAACTCTGTATATAGAACGAAATAAATTATTTAATGCATTTAAATACATAATAGCTTCTCCTCAATCCACGAATTGGGGCTTACCTTGTCTGAGCAATTCAGTTTCGTGCTCATAGCGAGCATATTCCATTTGGGCCTCAGTTTCTCTTCTTCCATTTTAAGTTCTCGTTTTAGTGCTTCTTGCTTTGTTTTAAACAATTCATGCAATTGCTTCCATCTGGTACCATATTCATGTTCGAATGAACCAATTTCTGCGAATCTCGGCCCTACACTGCGTTCATGATTGAATTCTGGCGATTTTTTATTTAGTGATTTATCTGGCAAACCATCATCGTCTTCATTTACTTCGAACGGCTCAACCACACATGGCCGTAAAGAAGCGGTGAGGAAGAAACATTTCTCACTGCAGAAACGTAGACACACATTTGCCGACGATTTTTTGGCAAATTCAATAATACCTTCTCCGGTAGATTTGCCACGATCATCAACCACAACGTTTGCACGCTCGATGGGTCCAAAAACTTCAAAAGATCTGTAGAGCAATTCATTTGATACAAAAGGTGTTAAATTTTTAACGCGTAGTATCGTGGCATTTGGTGCAAAACGCACGCGTAATTGCCGACCCTTGCGATTGGTACCATCCAACTCACGCTTTGCACGCTGTGCATTTGCATGAAAGTCCAACTTTAGGAATGTAAAATTTTTCTCAGCATTACAGAATATTTCTCCAATTTCGCCATAAGGTTTAAACATCTCACGCAACTCATTTTCTGATACATCATTAGTTAGATTACCAACATATAAACGATTGCGTCCTGAAAATTTAGGTTCTTCGGTTGCTTCAACTGGCTGTATTTCGTATGTTGGCCCTCCCATGGCTCGCAGACGTTGTCCAATAAAGAATTCATCGCCCCTACTATATGGGCCACCTTGGTTACCGCCGCCGCCACCACCGCCTCCTGGACCACCTCGTCCACCACGGCTGCGATCTCTATTTTGACCGCCTTGATGACCTCCGTGGCCGCCACCTGGGCCACCGCCTTGATGACCACCACCACCTTGATAGCCACCTCCACCTGTGCCACCGTGACCACCTCCACCTTGATGACCACCTCCACCTAGATGACCACCTCCACCTAGATGACCACCTCCACCTTGATGACCACCTCCACCTTGATGACCACCTCCACCTTGATGAACACCTCCACCTTGATGACCACCGCCACCTTGTTGACCACCACCACCACGATTACGATTCTGTTGTTGGTTCATATTCTGATTCTGATTCTGATTTTGATGTTGTGGTTGTTGATTTTGTTGTTGATTACGTTGCTGATTCTGTTGTGGTTGTGACGGTTGCTGTTGCTGCTGTAGTGGTTGAGGTGGTCCTCCTTGATCCTTCTTAGCTGCTGCCTGATTTCCGTCAACTGCAGGCTTTGCATCTGCTGGAGTTTGATTTGGTTGATTCGGTGGATTTTGTTGGTTAGGTTGATTTTGTGGGTTGGGTTGATTTTGTTGGTTAGGTTGATTTGGTTTGTTCTGGTTTTGCTGTAAGGTTTATTATTGTTTTATGTAGTTTACTATATATTTGAATAAATTTACTACGCAACTTATATGAAAAATCGTAAAAGATCTCTATAAAAAGATGAAAAAATTCACGTTTTTTCTTCCGCGCAATCAAAACTATGCGGTTTTATTTCGAGTTAAAACTTTGGATAATTTTCAATCCTTAATCATTTTTAAATCTGGTTGATTTTAATTACACTGTGCGAGGAATTTCAAAAAGTTGGAGGTAATGAGAATCGGACCAACAGCATTTGATTAAGCTGATCAAATAATGAAAAAGTACCAAAACATTTGAAAAAGTTGGTTTACTTTTCTTTTTTATCTCAATTTAAAGTTGACGAAATAAGATCCCAATGAGAACTATAATTTAAAAACACATTTTCTAAAGTCAACGGCGGAAACGGGAGCGGTTTCCAAAACAAAAAACCTTTGTACTTGTTAATTTTTGAACCTTGAATTCACAACTTCAAACCAATATAAAAAGCAAATGGGAACCAACTTTCACAAATGCTTTGGTATTTATTCACAAATTACCGTAGATTTAAATCTGAGGTCTTTATAGTTTACACAAAAAGATAGATAACTTCGGATCCACGGTAATTTTCTTCGTAGATCCACTGTTAAAAAGGCAGTTTTTACCGTGGATATACGGTAATTTTTTACCTTCAGTGAAAAATAGCACATTTGCTTTGTAATTATCTCAACAGCGATGCCTATTATTTATTTTCTCAACCACAATCCTGGAATTTGTTCATCCCAGGTAACCTGAGTTTGGTGCAATTATTTCTTCAGGTTGGCTTTCCATTACATTGGCTTTTGGGTGTTTTGGCAAAGCTATAATACATTTTCTCGTGAAACTTGGTGGGGATGTTTACAAACGTATATACATATACACCGTGCAAGGNGCACATTTGCTTTGTAATTATCTCAACAGCGATGCCTATTATTTATTTTCTCAACCACAATCCTGGAATTTGTTCATCCCAGGTAACCTGAGTTTGGTGCAATTATTTCTTCGGGTTGGCTTTCCATTACATAGGCTTTTGGGTGTTTTAGCAAAGCTATAATACATTTTCTCGTGAAACTTGGCGAGGATGTTTACAAACGTATATACATATACATACACCGTGCAAGAGCTTTGCAAGACTCAGACTCTTGACATCCTAAAAATGTTTCGTGCGCTTTTGGGTGTTCACGAGCAAAATGTATTCAACACAGTACCTTAAAAGTAGAGTTGGGTCGTTTCCGGATCGGGCCTTTTAACTGAACTAGTGTACCTAAATCTTCGATTTTCGTTTTTCTAGTTCTTTTTGTCCATGTTGCTCTTTTCGTTCTTCTTATTCAAGAATCATGAAAGTTGATGAATAAAGACTAGGGTAAGAGTGTTCCCAGGGCGCTTCAATTATTATTCAGCAAATATGTGAATACACTAAATATGTATATTATACTCTCTACACGGCTTTGCTTTATTCTGTACACCTTTTTCGTAGTACCGAGATTGCACAACAATGACAATGAACAAAGTTGCTTACAAAGAATAGGTATAAAACTAATGAAAAGAACAAATCATGATACAAATTTTTGTATCATGGAACAACAACTTGTACGTTCATTAAAAAAAAAGAACTAAATCTCTGGAATGAATGGAAAGCCCAACTCTACTTAAAAGATAGTCTACCAGAGTTGTCAATCACACCTTGTTGACGCGGACATTCTACGTAGCTTCATTTTGACAGCACAATGTCATGAAATGTTCGTANTACTCTCTACACGGCTTTGCTTTATTCTGTACACCTTTTTCGTAGTACCGGGATTGTACAACAACGACAATGAACAAAGTCGCTTACAAAGAATAAAAAACTAATGAAAAGAACAAAACGTGATACAAATTTTTGTATCATGGAACAACTTGTACGTTCATTAAAAAAAAAAAAATAACTAAATCTCTGGAATGAAAGGAAAGCCCAACTCCTCTTAAAAGATAGCCCACCAGAGTTGTCAATCACACCGTGTTGACGCGGACATTCTACGTAGCTTCATTTTGTCAGCACAATGTGATGAAATGTTCGTTCTTCCATAACCGCGTCCGACATTTTATAATGAGCGAAATGTCATGTTTTTTGAATGAACTATTACAGGCGACCGCTGTGGTTTAAGCTGAAGGTACATAATTTTATTTGTTGGTGCGTTGACGACGTTGAAAAATTTGTTACACACGATGCTTTGTGCCGCTGATTGTTCAGTGCGCGCTTCCACTCCGCAGGGTCTGGGTGAAAGCAACATCACAAAAAATTTAGAAAAATTGTTTTTCTCTTAACAGCGGTCGCCCAGACCGTAGACGTTTTGGAACGCACTAATTACTATTTTTGAAAAGTGCTATTTTGGCACTTTGTGCCAAATTAAAAAAATTAAGTGCCATTTGATGTAAAATGGTCCCAAAAATGGCACGGGTTGAGCAAACTTGGCAGCCCCGATTACACCGACCTAATATATGTGCAAGCGCCAATCTATTATTATATTAGCCGTGTTTAATTTGTTCAGAAATTTAAGCTATTAGCTTATTTTGTATGGAGGACTTACCCAACATAATTATATTGGCTTATGAAAAGCTATCTTGGCTTCTATATTGAATAAGAGGCATTGCCATTCAGCATCAGAAATTTTCTACTTCAGTCAATCAGAAAGAGGCATAAAATTTATTGCTGTCCAGCTGCCATTTTGGTCGCTAGATATAAGTTATATCAGTGGCAATATTTGTGTGGGCTTTTTATATATTGATATAAGGCATGGGGAAATGTTTAGTACCGCTCACACCGTTTTTTGGGTGGGGGGCGGAGGAGGAGGGGGCGGGTCCCCAATTTTGCGTAGAATTCCTTTCTACGTAAGCGGCCTTCGGCCGCACTTAGGGATTATAACCCTCAGGCAGTAGAATTCTCCTTTCTGT